CTTAACACTGTTTTTTCTAAGACCCTTCTTTGTCTCCAGGATCAAAATTTTTCAACAAATACAGAGAATGGGAAGAATAAAAAAAATAATAACCAAATCAGAAAACCTGAATTCTTGTTCAAGCTCACTACTGATTGTTTGGCTAATCACAAAGCAGTCTTTTATTGACTTTGTCTCATTGTTTTATCTGTTAATTGTGATTTTATAATATCCTAATGAAAAAAGTCCAAAGAGATAATGGAACTACTTGTAAGAAGTATAAGCATTCATATGATTAGAATTATTGTTATTGGCAATATTTTAGAAGGAAATTTCTATGTCTTTCTTCCCATTCCTTATCAAACAATAAAAGGGCTTTCCTCACTCAGGGAAGAGGTGGCCTGGGGTGAGTGTTAGAATCTACAATCACTTGGAAGAGGACCTGGCCAGGTTCCTTGAAGGCCAGCCCACTGGTCCCAGAGTCTTGGAGCTGTACCTGTGAGATATTGCCAAGCCTGAAGAAGTACAGGACTGATTGAGTGACATCTAACTTCAGAGGTGGAGCCCAGTGTGGACATCATGGGATTCTCACTCTGCATCCAACAAGCTCCAGGCTCTGTTGTTGTTCACGCACCTTGTACCGGGAAGGGAAAATGGAAAGCTGCCATTTGACTCTATGTATCTGTTGCAACCTGAGTTAGATGATAATTGTCCTCACTAGGATCCTCCAGAATTTAATAGCAGAAGGCCTGGTTTTCCATTCTTCATCAACTCAGCAACTGCAGGCAGGCAGAAGGGGAGATGTGCTTGATAAGGAGTTTTCTGCACTACTGAAGGTCTAAGATTAGAATACAGAAGGCTGGCTATCTTTACAGCTTCCGAAGAGTGTACGAAGAGGAAAAGAGTGGCAGTATCTTCTTTGTATCATGTCTTTTATCTTCTTTCTGAAAAGTCTTTTTCATATCACTTGGCCATTACAACAAACTTGTGAGTTATAGACAGCAGATGTCCTCAGCACCCGCTGAGTGAATGAGGAAAATGTGTTACGGAGACATCATGTCTTCTGCAGAGTGATGCCAGCAGTTGGTAGCAGAGCTGAGGCTGACCCACATTCACTCCAGCCCAGAGCACAGCGGGTGATGTTGCCATCTTGGGAAGGAAGAGCAGTTGTGAGGAATGAAGTGGTTTGGCTTAGCTTCTGAAGCAGTGAAGAAGTTAAGGCCGAGCTTACTTGCCGGATGCTTTCTGGGGAACCAGCTCTAGGCGTGGTGTGTACAGCTCCAAGAGAAGACTGACAACGCATGCACACGTGGACACACACTATTCCCAACAGACTTTTGCTATGTTGTGTGTAGGTGGAGACTTTCAGCAAGCTATTCCCTGGCCATCAGACCAGGACCCACCCAGTCAAAAGCCAAGATGCACAGTGTCCACAAAGCATGATGCAGGGAGATACAAGACCAGGGAGGGATGGGATGGCAGGAAAGAGGAATAGTTCTTTTAAGGAAGGGAATGGTTATTAAGGAGCATCTGTTTGTTCCACTAAAAAAGTGGTGGGAGGTCCTAGAGGGAGTAGGGACCCTACCCATACCTCCCATGGCACCAGAAGTGAAGTGTTACAGATTCTTCTGAGCATGCTGCCATCCCTACCTTGTGTAGAGCTGAGTTCCCTGTGGATGTGCCAGGCAGAGAGAAGGCACCAGTGGTCATATGACTGCTATGGGGAGGTGTGGAGTCCTGCAGAGGGAGTCCCCAGTCCATAGAACACCCTTTGCAAAGCTTAAGGGCATTTGCTTTACACTCATAATTTGGGACACAACTGCCTGCCTTGGAGGTGAGTGGAGCAGAGACTAGACAGTAAAACCTGCATCCCAAATTCTATGTGTGGTCACTAGCAGTCTTTATGTCCAAAGAACTGCCTTATGATACTGATCAAGGCCCTCCTTTGCTCCCAGAACCTGTGCTACATCCTGTGGAAGACCAAAAGACTGCACACAGTGTGGTATCAGAAAATAGTATGCCTGCAGTCCTAAAAGACCTTGGCACTGGAGGAGCTTTGATTCTGGTGAAAAATATGAAATTGTCATACAGAGTAACTTTGTTGTTTGGGACTGTGTAAAATTCAGCACCCAGTTGTGCTTTACACTCTCAGGGTTGTGGGTGACCTGAGGCTGGCATCATTCAGGACTGATCAGAACAATGATATCTGGGGAACTGGGTGTTGAGAGAACACAAGACTTGAGCAGGCTGAGGGGAGGAGTGAGGAATGGAAGCAAGTGCAGGCCTAGAGGAGAGTATGGAACTTTCTTGGGACCCAAAATCCACAGCTCTCATGGGATTCAGAGTGTGCCTGGAGTGAAGAGGGAGCTTGTCTTGTCAGTCACTTGGGAAGTACCTGCTGAGCCCAGGCCAGCCCAAGGCATCATCTGCTAAATGCATGTACAGTATTAATGGACTTTTGTGTCCTGGGCCCATGTGATACTCAGCATTAGAGTGTGATATGGGTTACACATTGAGCAGGTCACTGAGAGAGGAGAGGACAGACAGGGAGTCCCATGGAGACAGGTGAGTCTGAGGATGGCAGACCCCCAAGTTACATACATCTGCAGGGTTCCAGTATCTGGGTAGGCCTCGCCACTGGGAAGAGAATACCTGGGTTGTTGTGGAGAGTGATGGTGTGGCAAGAGGCTGCCTGCTGGGCAGTTGCAGGTCCTAGAGCTGATGTAGCCCCCATTTCTTTTCTTTTTTATCCACCAAGGCAAGCTGGCTCCCCACGTCCTGGCCAGCGTTCTGATGACAGCCACTATGATGTGTGGCTGTGAACCTGGGGGTGGTCCTCCTTTCTGCCATTCCATTTATAAAGGAGGAGGAACAAAAGAACCATATCCTTTAGCTGTAGTTGGGCTGCAGACAATCAGAAGGAAAGAGAGCTTTATTTCTCATCTCTTCTAGCAGAATGGGAAGGCAGATTTAGCCAATTATAAATAGCAGTTTAATTCTTTCTCAGTCGAGACTCCCTGATCACCCAGCCAACGTGATGTGTTTCCTCAGGGGTCCCACAGCACTTTCACCGTGTTTCCTACAGTCTGCCTTATAGTGTGCACTACTGTGTCCTCTAATCTCCAAGCACCACTGCCTTTAGGAAGCCCACATGAGGTTTGAGTTATTCTATAGCATCACACTCAATATCTGTGTGTGAATGAATTCTGGGTTTTAGGTGCTAGGCTTGGCATCACAGGGCATGGGAGTGATCTAAAATGGACCCATCGCTCTAAAGATGGGAAGACAAAGTTCTTCATCTACATGATTCTTAATGAGTATCTGTCATGATCCTAGCTAACTATGTGTACCCTGATCTTGTGCCAGGAGCTGTTCTACTTGCTTCCATGGGCTGTTATATTTAATCTTCGTACTAACCCTAGAAAATGGGTACTTTAATTATCCCATCACATACTGAGACCCAGAGAGGTTAATCTTGCCCCAAATTAAATGTGCTGTTGCTTGTGGCCATGTCATGAGTCAAACCCAGGTCTGCCTGGCCTGAAATTCACCTTTTTAATCACCAACCCAAGTAATGCTTATGGTGCTAAGTGAGCTATAGACATATAGCATGAGCTATGAATACTGAATTAGGACACATGCCCGTGTGGATGGAAACAGGGCACACTCTGGAGAGGAGGCAGGAATGAGTCTTAGAGGGTAGGCAGAATTCAGTTAGGCAAAGAAGTAAGATCACCCAGGTAGGATTTAAGAATGTACATAAATGCCTCATGCATAGAACTGAAGATGCTAAAATGGCCCATTCACCTGCCAATCAGTCTGTGCTTTACCCCAGCTTTGTACACAGCCATCCATACATGCTGTGGGGAAAGATGTGCTTTCCTTCTCTCCTGTTCTGTTTGCTATGTGTCAGCATACCCACTCATCACTTATTTTATTGTTTGGCAGCTTTGACCCAAAGAGAGCCGTGCAGCAACTCAGAGCCTGTGGGGTGTTGGAGACGATTCGCATCAGTGCAGCTGGCTATCCATCCAGGTAATGTGCTGCCAGCCACACCCTTCTGGGCTGCTATAGAGCAGTCCAGTGGGGTGCTCCCGGGAGTCCTCATACCTACTGTTAACCAGAAACAGATCCTCAAAAAAGTTCCCACACCCTGAGGGCCCAAGCAAGATGCTGATGGAAATAAGAATTTCAGTTTGACGTGAAAAATACAGGGATTAACAGTAACATCCTTTGGGTTTTTCAAATTCTACATTGTCACTGGTCCAGGTAATGAACTAGCTAGAGCAGCAGAGGGATTCCTTCTACATTCAACTCTCACATGCCCTTTTTTCTTTTTTTTTTTTTTGTAAAATACAGTAACATAATATTTACTGTCCTAACCATTTTTAAACAGTAGCATGAAGTATGTTTACATTGTTGTACAACCATCACTACCATCCATTTCCAGAACTCATCTCATCTTGTAAAACATGTAATAGAAACTCCCTGTTTTATTCCTGTTTGTTACTATAACAAAATACCTCAAGCAAACTAACTTTATAAAGAAAAGAGATTTATTTAGTTCATAGTTTTAGAGGAGGAAAGTCCAAGATTATGTGGGAGGGATAGGTAATATCAGATAGAAAGCTAAAGAGCACCTGGAGTCCTATAATACCTTCTGAGGGGTTCTTCTGGTGTCCCAATTGGACTAAGGACCTTCCAGTATGTCCCACCTCTTAGATTTCAGCATCTCCTAATACTCTGGGGACTAAACTTCAACACATGAATCCTTGAGCAAATTACATCAACCATGACCCTCCCCATTCCCTTTCCCCCAACCTTCAGAAGCCACCTTTCTACTTTGTCTCTGAATTTGACAACTTAAAGTGCCTTGTATAATTGGAATCATGTAATATTTTTGCTCTTTGTGATTGACTTGTTTCACTTAGTGTAATGTCTTCAAGGTTCATTCATATTGATAGCATGTGACAGAATTTTCTTATTTTTAAGGCTGAATAATATTCCCTTGCAGGGAGCCAGGGGTAGCTCAGTGATGCTATGCCTGCTTGGCCAGCGCAAGGTCCTGAGTTTGAATCCCAGTACTGAAAAAATAAAATAAAAATATTTCCTTGCATGTCTATAGCACATATTGCTTAACCATTCATCTATTGTTAGATCCATTTACCTTTTAGCATAGAGTCCCTAAGGTGGAAAATATAATTTCATTGAGTTAAAAAATAAATCTCATGGTCTGATGTGCATTGTGGATAAGCCACTGAAGCTCTCCAAGTCTGAGGAAGCCATGCCAGGACTATGGACTTCCTGTGGATGCTTGCCTGAAATAGGGTGGGAAGCAAGTGACAATCCCACTAGCTCACACCAAATTACATACTAGTGTGACATAAACCAAGCAGCTTCTGCTGACTAGGATTGAATTGAGCAGCATGGCAGCCCAGAGCTGTGGTACTGCCCATGAGGATCATCTGTCCTGAGAAGTCCCTTGAGTGTCAGGGTGGATGGAGCCAGAGTGAGGATGAGGGGGTAGGTAGGACAGCCTTCTTCTCCACTTGTCACTTTCCCCTGCAGTGGGGGACCATTTCACATGCAGTGGTTAATTACCCATAAACAGCTTAACCATAAACAGTTCCCACATGTTAAGCCTGGAGGAAAATTGTTGCTGGAATTAGGAATTTGCATTTTACCTAGAAAGTATAAGAACAATTACTAATCTGCAACATCTAGGCAGCTTTTCAAAACCCAGCAGGATGATCATGGGAGCCAAGTCTAAGGCCATTAATTTTTTTCTTTTCAACGACATCTTACCTTGCTTAGGAAAAAAGGCAGAGTGTGTCCTGGGGCCCTTTCTCATTTTTTGACTTTGGTGTTTACACACTAATAGGTAGCCACCCCCTTTTATGAAGATAGGCTAGCTTCTGCTTCTTAGATAAGGCATGGCATTCCTTTTCTCGGTCTGCCCTGTAGCATCCAGCATCTCTATCTTTTGATTGAGGGGAGAGGGTCCAGGTCCCAGGTTGAGTGGCTCAGGTCTAAGTTCAAACTACTGAAATTTCAGTCTCTGCTACATGCATAGGGTTCAGATCCAACAGCTGAAGAGTTAGGAAATGACCTTGGGGTGCTGCTGAGCTACTGATCTTCCAACTGAGTTCTGTGGGCAGCCACTCCACTCTTAGCACTTCAGTCTTATGTTTTTGGGACTCCCAAGACAGGTGTCACCTACCAAAGGTTTCTTTACTTCCACCATTGTTAGTCTGCTGTTTCTCAGAATTGTGTGTTGCAACCCATTAGTGGGTCATGAAATCAGTTTAATGGGTTGTGACCAACATATTGTTTTTAGTGAAATAACTTGGGTTGGAAATTGTAGGAGGGAAGTTTGTGGCAGAAAGAATGTTGTGGCATGACTATTTCTCAGTGTTAGGTTAGATAAGGTGTGTGGTCATCTAATATGTGCTCCCACAATGAGTCCCAGAGAACAAGTGAGCTGCTGGAGGCTGAGTTGAGTCTAGAGCCAGCACTCCTGTGCCCCTCCTACATCTTACTGCTTAAGTCCCCGTTGCCCTTCAAACATAGGTTTATCAGAGGAAGAAGTGACTTGGGTGGGGGTCCTGAAAGACTGCCCTCTACCCCTGTGCCAGGCCCAGACCTGAGACCTGACATAGCACTAACTGCTCCTCATTCTCTAATGTTTTAGAGTCCAAATTCTGGAACTGAAGGCTGGACAAGAGCTGAAATAGTCTGAGTGTGTTGAACCCTGGCCTTTGTAGTCAGGCCTGGCTTCAGGTGTTGGCCGCTGCACTTCTTGGCTGGGTGATCTTGGTCAAGTTAATAAATCTCTCAAAACCTGGGTTTCCTTATCTTTAAGTAAAATGACCTTACTTACTTCACAAGTGTTGTAAGGAATGAGATAAAGTCCTCAGCACAGTACCAAGCATTTAAGCATTTAACAAAATACTTATTAGTCATCCAGATATGAGCAAGAAGTTGCCTCCCTATGGGTGTAAGTATTTGGAAAAAATATGTCTATATCAGAAATTTCTAGCTTTGTTTTGTGAAATCCCAATGTGTGTGGCTACCTTGAAAGAGTATCCTGAAACTATTAAGCAATGGAATGGGTCAGTTTAAAAGTTATATAAAAGGGCTTATGGTGTAATTTAGTGGTAGAGCATGCCCTAGTATGCTCAAACACATGCCATGCTAAACTCTCTAGGGCCATTGTAAAAGAAGGTTTGGAATGCCAATTTCTACAGCCATACCTGTGCTATATACTGCAGGGCCCTGAACATAAGCAGAGAAATTCAAGGTGTTCACCTTTGTGTATAATTTACCACTTTGTGTCTAATGGTGGGTTTGTAAAGTGGAAAGCATATAAATCAGGACCACATCAAGCCATGGAGAAGACACAAGGGACGCATGTGACAATGTGGTCATCTATGCCAGGTGAAATCGTGGGGTCCATCTCTGTGTAAAAAGAACCACCTATTTCACCAAGGACTTTCTAACAGAATGAATTAATGGTAGGACAAGTGACTTGGAGGAGGTGTCATGCCAAGGGTGTCTTCTTGTACACCAAGAAGAGGCTGGGCTGGGAGTTTAGCTCAGTGGTTTCAGCACCTGCCTCGCAAGCGCAAGGACCTGAGTTCGATCCCCGGTACCAAAAAAAATGAAGAGGCTTAGAAGCCCATGGGTTTGACCTGGCTAACTATAAACCCTGCATAGCCAGGGGTCTATACACCTGCCACCTGCCACCTCTGATTCACCAGCTGAGCTCCCTCAAAGCCTCACTGCATGAAATCAGAGTTCAGTGTGTGTCACCCATACTCCTACTGGGTTTGCTATCATTGTATAAAACAATCTGTTCTAGAGATAGGAGGAGGAGAAGGTTTGCTTCTGGGATCTCACATGAGCTTTATGTGAAATGAGAACAATATCTCCCCTTTATGAAGTCCTTCTCTCCCCTTAATCTCTCTTCTCTGTGTCTCCTGTATGGAGCATCCAGCTCTGTGCTGGCCCACACTCACAAGAAATTCACAGCTAGAAGTGACACAATCTTGAAGCAGTTAAAGAGTAACTCATAACCAGATGTAAGTTTGTAGTGCAAGTCTGGGAGGAGTGGAGACTTCTTGGATAAGGTGAGGCTGGAGCTGGGCCTTAAAGAATGAGGAGGATTGGGATTGGTGGGGAGACAATGGGATGATGCCACCAGCTGCAAAGCAGCACACTGTCCAGAAATGGACTGAAATGTAAAGAGGGATTCTCTAACTCTCAATTCCCTGTGCCCACTGCTCAGTCTCCTAGTTGCAGTATGCTTGGACATCAGATGTGCTTTCTCCTCATCCAGGCAGCCATTTTTTTTTTGTACCAGGGATAGAACTCAGGACTTTGTGCTTGCAAAGCAGGCATGGTGCCACTGAGCTAAATCCCCGGCCAGCCAGCCTCTTCTTGGCAGGTAAGAGAACTCACACTTGCCAAGTCTTTAGACCCATGTGGAAAGTGGCCTCTCCTACTGTTGATCCCACCCAGCTGCAGTCAGAGTTTCCAGCAGGATCAAGATGAGCACAACTTACTAGCCTCTTACAGGTTGCCAGATGGATGGATGTTTTTCCTGCCATCCTAACTGTTTTAGACTTCTTTCTAGAGGGTAATTATAATTGCATCTGTGCCTTCTGTTTATGTAATTACAGGTATTATGGAAAGTGTAATGAAGGAAAGACATGCTTCTGGTATCACAGAAAATGTTGTCTAAAGCCGTGATTTAAATGTGTGGGCTTAGATCCAGGATGCTCCTTTCATGTCTCTCCTTACATTTGTTGCCTTAGCACATTTTGCCAAAGAGCCCAAGAGAGGATTCCCTCCCTGAACTGCCATTAGATTTTGGACAGCAGCATGGTGATTTTATGGTACTTTGGTTAGTATCACAGTGACGTTGAATCATTCATACTATTTCATCTAAATTCTCTTCATGTTTGTCTGCTGTATCTAGGGATAAATCAAATGAAATTTTATGGATGTCACCTGCCTGCAAGGTATCAGCTATGAAAGGAAGTATACAACAAGTGCAGTGTGTGCTAGCCTCAGTGTATAGAGCTGAGCTCTATTTGCAGATCTAACTTTGGGAAACTTTCTCAGGAGCAGAGGGACCTGAGTGGAATATGGGCAGATTAGGAGTCATCTACAAAGCTCCCTAGTTGCCGAAAACTCAGTAAAGTGATATCACTTGTATTAGCCTGTCAAGGAGCTGCATAACTTTCCACAGCTGTGTCTTTAGGACATTTCAATGGGCTTCTTTGATTATCGGAATTACAGTTTATATGTCTTTCCACATTTCTGTTGTGTGAGTGACCAAAGGAAGGAAAGTGGTAAAGGAAATTCCATACATTGCCCTGGATTGCAGAGGCTGGTGATGAATCTTCCACAGGGCCATTCTTCAAGACCTCAAGCATTTCAGGCACAGTCCTGCATCAGCTCTACTGATGTCTTGAGAGGAAAATTCTTACCTCTTCCAAATTTGAGATTCAGTCAATATCCCTACAGTCCACCAAGCCAGAGGGGACAACTGTCGCATTGCCAGCCAGCAATAGCTATCTGGGGCTGCTCCTGCTCCTCAAGCTTTAAGGTACCTGATTGTTTTTATCCTTTCTAAGAATTATGGCTTTCTTGGGAGTGTGGCTTTAAATGAAAATGTATCATTCTATTTGAAATGCTGTGCAGTGGCTAAGAAATACGTTCATTTCAATGTGCATAAAGCACAGTGATGAATGCACTGTCAGGGACAGAACCTTACCTACACAGCTCCTGGCTCTCGTGCCTGTGCAGTTACCTGTCTCCCTGGGCTCACAGTTTTGTGACTGAAGGAACTCGGGTAAATACTGCTTAACCAAAACAAGTGTGGTAGAGGACTCCATGAATGTGTAATTGATACTTTAAAAATGAATCAAAACAAAACTGCATAAACTCCAGTTCTCACTTCAACCCATCATCTTCATAAAAATGTAGGTTTCCTAAAAAGATTTCCAGCTCCTCAACTTCTATCTCTCTAAACTCATGTGGGATAAATAGTCTAAGATTGTAGAATTAGATGGGTGCCATAGAATCTGCCTGATTTACCTTCCTACCTAATCATGTTCGAACCGAAAACAGACCCACAATTATTTCCATTGCTATTAAATATCCTTCAGAAAGAGAATAGTGCAGAATTTATTTTAGAGTGATATGATTCTTTATCTCAGGCTCTTATAGCCTCAAGTCCTGACTCTTTTGCCCAACCTCTGTACTCTTTTCTGTGGACTGCAGTCTGACCTAGTGGTGTACACCCAGGGCTATGCATCAGTTAGCGGGGTATACTTACCAATTTCAGAAGCCAGGGCCCTTCCTCAGACCTAAGAGTCTGAATCTGAGACTGAGCCCTGACCATTTGCTTTTTGGCAAGGTTTCCAAGTGATGTTTTAAATGAATCCTGCCTGGAAACCATTATTCTGGAGGTGCATGTTGGCCCATCTGCAGCCACTTGGTCATGTGCAGGCCATGTTAGGACTGATTGGGGTTTTCCTGTATGGTCCCCTCTTTGTGTTTCAACCCCAGCTTAGAGCCAGTGGGGAGGAACTGTGTTTCCCTCCCCCTACAGTAAAGCTTAGCAAACTTCAGAGCTGGGGCCACTTCTGTGGCTGAGGCTGTGTTCCCTGGGAGGGCCAGGATATGTGGGGGGAGGGCAATATGGGGTATTTATAGTGATGTGAGGCATATAATGAGCATCATGCAGCCTTTTCCCAAGGAATTCCTTCATAAGGTTAGTGTTGAAATAAGGATAACAACTCCTGATTATGAATTACTTAATGAATGTTGCCCACAAACCTCATCTTTTCCATCACACTTTTTATTGAGATATAATGCACATAATACAAAATTCATCCTTTTAAGGTAATTTGGTGATTTTCATTATATTCCATTGTACAACCATCACCACTATCTAGTTTTATAATATTTTCAGCACCTTGAAAAGAAACTGTTAGCAGTCATTCCTTTTCTCTCCTCCCAGGCCCTGGCAAGCACTAACCTTTGCATTTTGGTTGATTCACTTATTCTAGATATTTCATTTACATACAGTCATATGATATTTGACCTTTTGTGTCTGGCTTCTTTCACATAGTACTGTTTTAAAAGGTTCATCCATGTTGTAGCATGCATCAGTACTTTATTCCTTTACATTGATGAATACTGTTTCTTTGTATGGATACACCACATTTTACTTTATCCATTCCTCAGCTGATGATGTTTAGGATGTTTCTAGTTTTTTTCAAGTGTGAATAATGCTGCTATGAACATTTGTGTAGATATTTTTGTGGGGGCATATGTTTTTATTTCTCTTTGGTATATATCTGCAAGTGGAATTGTTGGGTCACCGTTTACCCTTTTGAGGACCTGCCATATGCATATGATATGAGGTAGGGTCCTGTTCTGCAGTGGCTGCACCATTTTACATTCTCACAAGCATTATATGAGGGTTCCTTTTCTTTTTTGCATGTCATCCTTGCGCAGGGGCCATGCTAATCTTCTCTGTATCATTCCAATTTTAGTATATGTGGTGCCGAAGCAAGCACTCCTTTTCTTTTTTTAAAGAAGTCTTGTGTTGCTTAGACTAGCCTTAAACTCTGAAACCTCCCATCTTAGCCTCTAGAACACTTGGGATTACAAACATGTACCACCACCTGGCAAGGGCTCCCCTTTCTACACATTTTTACTGATACAGTACTTGTGATTATCTGTCTTTATTTTTATAGCCATCATAATGAGAATGAAATGGTATCTCCTTGTGATTTTGATTTGTATTTCCCTGATGGTTAATGACATGAAGTATCTTTTCACATACTTATTGGCCTTTTTTGAAAAAATGTGTATTCAAATCTTTTGCCTATTTCTAAAATTGGGTTACGTCTTAGTTACTTTTCTCATTACTGAGTCAAAATACCCAACATCCAAAGTTAAAGGAGGAAAGGTTTCTTTCATCTCACAATTTGTAGAGGTTTCACTCCGTAGTTGGCTGGCTCCAAGGCAGGGCAGCATAGCAGAGGAAAACAGTCCATAGCATGGCAGGCAGAAGGCAACAAGCATTAAAGCAGCAGCAGCAACTCTCCCTTTCCCTTTCATGCCATTCAGGCTATAGGCTTTTGTTTGGTACCACTCATACCCAGGATGGGCCTTCCCATTATCTATACCCAGAAATGTGCTAAACCAATCAGTGGTCTAATTTTGTACCACACACCTTTAATCCAAGTATCACATATCCTAGATCCAGCCAGCTCCAAAAAGCCCCACGTATGAGCACATAAGGCTTTGGGGGCCCATCTAGGTACAAGCCATAATAGATTATTTGGGCCACGGATTTAGCTCAGTGGTTTTGCTGCCTGCTGCCCAAGCGCAAGGACCCAAGTTCGATCCCCAGAACCAAAAAAAAAAAAGAGGGTTCTGCATAATAGATTATTTGCTTACTGTTGATTTGTAAGAGTTTTTTTATGTATTCTGGTTATGAGATCTTTAAGAAACATTCAACTTACAAATATATTTTTTCATTCTATAAGCTTTTTTTATGGCATTCTTTGAAACATAAAATGTTTTAATTTTAAAGAAGTCTAATTTATCTAGTTTTTTCTTTATTTGTGCTTTGAGTGTCATAGCTAAATAATCATTGCATGACCCAGAGCCTCAAGGGTTGATTTCTGTTTTCTTCTAAGGTTTTTTTTTGTTTTACACTTTTAAGTGATCTATTTGGAGTTAATTCATGTATATGATGTGAGGTAGGGTCCCAGTCTCGTTCTTTTGTATGCAGATATGCAGTTGTCCCAGCACTGTTTGTGGAAAAGATCGCTTTAACTCTTGAGATAGACAAGACAGGTGGTATCACATCCATTTTGCAGATGAGAAAACAAATCCCAGAAAAGCAATTGGATCAGTCCTCCTAGACAGAAAGTGAGGGAGAACCATCCCACATAAGGTTAAGGCTGCCTGCACTTGTGAGTCTCCAAGAAGATATGCTTTCTTCATCTTTGCCCTCTTGTCTTTTTTATTCATTTATTTATTTGTTTGTTCATTTACTTATTTATTTTTGAGACAGCGTCTTTCTATGTAGGCTAGGCTGACCTTGAACTCAAAGTCCTCTTGCTTCAGCCTTCCACAGGACTGGGATTGCAGGTGTGAGCCACCATCCCTGTCCTTTAAGTTTTGTCCATTCCTGGTATATTTCCAAAGAAAACTCTTATATCTAAAAGACTTTTGTATCCAATTGAATTTATTTCTCTCCTGTTTTGTTCCTTTAAAGAGGAAAACAGAGATGTATATGTTGTTTGGATGGCCAATATGAAGATTATCAACAACTCTATATCCAGAGAGGGACCATTAGACCTAGTTGGTAGGCCTCACATTTGGGTAAGTGCCTTAACCTCAAAACTGCTATTTGGTTCCTATGTGAAACATTGTCCCTGCTGAGGCTCATAGGCTCCTACTAAGAGAAGCCTCCCATTGACATGGGATGCTTGACCAGGACTCTTGGACCAAAGATGAATGGCAGCATAGTGGAATATATTAAAGTACAATTGACACACTTAATCTTGATTTAGCATTTCTAAGGAACCCTTGGGATCATCCACCATGACATCTTTAGGATTTTTTTCTTTGTGGCCTGATGTCCTAGAGATTCCATGACTTAGAGCATCAATCACAGCAAGATCTTACTGTAGGGACTCTCAGAGTTTATCTAATGCAGCCAACATCTGCATGAAGAAATATGCCCCAAAGAGAAACAGCAGAAAGATCTGCAACAGTGCCGACCTTGGTCCCCTGCATACCTCTCAGGCAGGTATGTTGTTCTGCAGAGTATTCCCATATACAGATGTTTAAATCCAATGTAAGGATCCAAATAGGTCCTCAGTCAACCAAAACAATGCCCCAAGTACCGAGTTTCCTGCTTCATTCACAGCTGCATAATCACTCACTGTCTCCAATCTGAGGAGCTCATTACTAGCAGGCATCCGTCCAGACTATGGACTTGCTGAATGCTTGCCTCCATAGAAGCAGTCACAGGCCCTGGGCTTTTCCCACACACTAAAATGTGGCCAGGTCAGGACAGCTTCTCCCCAGCAGACCAGAACAAACCAAGTAAAGGCCTTTCTTTAAAAGGAAGTATGACATTGAAGTCTGGGATGCTCAGCTAGGCTCCCAACATGTGAGTCGGAATCCAGGGGGAGCAGGGCTGCAGTGAAGGGAGATTTAAGGGGTAACTGCTGTTGCTGAGACTCCATAGACCACAGTCAGGGCCTGGTCATAGACTCAGGATGGGGCTGTTCTCCCACCACTAATACAGAATAGAATGAAAGGGTACCCAGGCCCAGGAGTGGGCTAAAGGACCCCTCCAGCCAGAGTTAGAGGATGTGTGCAAGGAATGAGGCCCACTGGAGGCAGATGGCAGTCATGGCTGTTTGTTCCCAAGAAGCCTTTCTGGACTACAGTTATGCTCTGTAGTAAACATTTTGCAAGTACTTGAGAGCTTTTAATGTTCCAAGGGAGGGGAGATGGTCCAAAGATGCTATATTTTGTGGGACTGTGCCACACACTAAAGAACTGTTAAACCAAAGACAGTGGTCCCTTTTTTGAGAAACTGGTAGAAGAGATTTAACTGTATGGTATGTGTGTAGGGGGGTGTCAGGGTCTAACCATTTGAGTAGCCAGTAAAGCATGATTTTTTAAAACTATAATATGCAACTGGGTATAAAGGTACAGTTGGTAGTTGCTGATAAGTGTTGAGAGGTTTTAAAATATCTCAGACAAGGTAGGCCTGTGCTTAACAGAGCTCCTCATACACACACAAGCAGATCTGTAATAGAAAGTAGAAGGCTCTAAGCCCGTTCAGGACTAGCTAAAATGCAGTGTGTGGTTTTGTTTTGTTTTGTTTTGTTTTTTCGGGGCGGGGGGGGGGGGGCTCCATAGTAGAAAATTATCCTGGGTTAAACCCATGGTCTCACTGAGCATCCAAATGTTCCCACCAAATCAAAGTCCTGTTAAGAAGTTCTAGTTTTGGAAAAAGAATCACACATTTTTTTCAGCTTTGCTTTGAAGGTTCTCCTATTAGAGGTGAGGGAGCATTTCCTGGGAGTGCTTTCTCTCTAGGAGCGTTCAGAGGTCCATGGGAAGAGGATCCCATATGTGATTCTGGGTCCTGAAGTGACCAACACCTTGACAGGCCTTTTGTCCAAGCCCTGTAGCAGACGATCTCTGCCCAAACTGATGGTGTGCTTCTCAGTGGACCCTTTGCCTTCATATGGACACCTGGTATCCCCCATCCCCTAAACTCCAGTGCACACCCTGTATGTGGAACAGGTTATGTTTTTTTTTAATCCTTTTATTGGTACATTTTAGGTATACAGTATAATGACATTCATCATTGGAAATATGCACCTTTACATAGTCTCTCTTGGTTCTTATTTTTTCCCCCTTCCTCTACCCTCCCTTGAGCACCTCCAGCCCTCCCTATTTACAAAGACTTTGTTTCCTTTTTTTCATTTTCTCATATTAATTCCCTTCCTTTCTTTCCTTTCCCCTACCCCTCCCACTTCCCCTTCCCCTTTGCCCCTTTTCTTTCTATTTCACATTATCTGTTATACCTTTTAGTCCTTATTTACACTTTCACTTTCTCACACTAGAGAAACTATTTGGTATTTATACATGAGTGTCCTATTTATTTCACTTAAGAGTATCACCTCAATATGCATCCATTTAACAATAAATGTCTAATTTCTCATTTTTTATGGCTGAGTAGTACTCCATTTTAAAAAAAAAAAACACATTTTCTTAATCCAGTCTCCAGTTAATGGGCATTTGGGCTGTTTCCAAGTTTTAGCTATTACAAACTGTGCTGCTATGAACATGGGTGCACATATATCACTGTGGTATGATTCTTTTAATTCTTTGGGGAAGATACCCAGCAGGGGAATAGCTGAGTCAAATGGGACTTCCAGTCCTAGTTCTTTGAGGTATCTCCATACTGATTTCCACAGTGGTTGCACCAGTCTACACTCCCACCAGCAGTGGAGCAGGGTTCCTCTCCCAACAGCCCCAACAGCATTTGTTATTGGTTTTCTTGATAGCAGCCATTCTTTCTGGGGTGAGGTGGAATCTCAGTGTTGTTTTCATTTGCATCTCTCAAATGACCAGTGATGTTGAACATTTTTTCATGTGTTTATTTGCTATTTCTACTTCTTTGTCTGAGAAAGGTCTGTTCGTTTCAGATGCCCATTTTTGGGTTGGGCCTTTAAATTTGGGAGGTCTGATCTTTTGAAGTTCTTTATAGATTCTAGATAGTAGACCTTTGTCTGAGGAAAAGCAGGTGAAGATTTTTTCCCACATTGTGGGTTGCCTCTTCACACTGCTGGTGGTTTCTCTTGCTGTGCAGAAGCTTTTTAATAAGAAGAGATCCCATTTGTTGATTGTTTGTGCTACTTGACGGGCAACTGAGGTTTTGTTCATAAACTCTTTTCCTACACCAGTGTCTTCAAGAGTTCTACCCAACCTCTGGAACAGGTTATGTTTTAAGAACATGTTTGCGAGAAAAGAAGTGGAACAGGCTTGCACAGAAAGAAGAAGCAATTTAGATATTTGGAAGTTTTGCACCTTTCCAAACAGTCTGCATGATGGACTCATTGGCTTCTAAATCCCTGTGAGGTGTTTTTGTGAGGTGGAGACTCTTGCCTCTTTTATAGGTAGGAGGGAGGTAAGGCATCCAGGCTGGGAATGACCAGGGTGGGTCAGAACCAGGTTTCGGTACTTCTGTCCTCCAAGCTTGTTCCAAACTGGCTTTGATATCTTAGCAGTCACATCTTCCTGGTCTCATAATTTCCTTGAGTTATGGATCTGTCAGCAGTAAGATTTTCATATTAGAAGCATTTAAGGTGTTTAGCCTAGCTAAATGCTGCTTTAATTATTTCCCCCAGCAAAATTGCAAACTCATAAGAAGAAATAAGACAAATGAGTACACAAATAACTGTGATGTAGAATGTGCCCTCAGAGATTGCATTACTTGTGTTAGCCTAGTCAGGTGTTGACAGGTGGGCAGGGACAACACGGAGACTTAGACTTTATGACGCTCTTTTTTTGTATCCAGTATTTCATTTGATTCTTGCTCAGATCCTTCTTTCCCTATGTAGAAGTATCAGAAAGAATGGTCTATATTTAAAACTGGAGGGGGATGGGATAGAAAGCACCTACTAAAAACAAACGCACACATGATTTTCAGCTTGTCAACTGTAGGTCCCTCAGGCCTCTGGTATTAAGTCATTCAAGGACTGGTTAAGGCTGGGGGTTTTTCTTGATATTTTTGTACATGATTGAAATAATTGAGGCAGCATTTAGCTGAGCAAAGAACTTAAATATTCCCATTTTCAAAGCAGCCTCTTCAGGATGGCCAGTGACTCAGAGGTTTGACTCTCAATCCATTCACAGCTAGTGGGCAAAAAAGTTTCTTTTCAGCGAGTAGAGGCCATAAGAGCAAGAGGAGCTCTTTGTTGGCCTTAAAACAGAGGGCTTGGGCACTGTGAGGACCTTCTTTCCTCTCCCTGAAGGGAGGCCTGTGGACAGTGAGCAGGCCTTGGAAGAGTGTATTATGTGCTCTCATTCCCTAGTTCCACTGCATCTGTAACAGACTGAACCAGTTAAAAAGCAAAGCGGTGTAGAGACTTGAGTACACTGGTGGTTGCCAACATTTGAAAGGAGAGAATGGGATAGGATGGCTCAGGGTGTAGAATTTCCTTTTGGGGTTGTGAAAATGTTCTGGAATTCAATACGGGGGATGGTTGTGTAACTTTGCAAATGAACTTAAAATTATTGAATTGTGTACTTTTAAAGGGTAAATTTTATCTTAATGTAAGTGCTCTTCCAGAAAAGCTTTTGTTTTAAAGTAAGGAGCAAAATCGTTACTCTTACATAGAGGAAAAAAGATGGAAAAATGTCATTCTGATATTTATTCTTACACTTCCCCCTTTCCAGAAACCCATTACTATATTGGAAATATTCCGTCAAGCCAAGAAAAATATTTACAGAGGAAGAAGGGTACATAGAGGAAGAAGGGGACATAGAGGGAGACAAGGCGCTCAGTCTTCTTTCCTCCTCATCCCAGGAAGGTGAACCTCAGCTGTCCAAAGGTTCTGGAGTCAAAGCAGAGGAGCTTTCCCCGAGCTCAGTGCACTCCATTGCCCCAATGGGCCCCTGACTTGCTTTTCTAGATGAAGTTTCCAAAGGACACTCTTTAGAGGCAAAGAGCTACGGGGAAGGGATACAGACCACTCATTTTCTACTTAACACCTTAGCATGTCAATCTGAGTAGCTGGCCAGTCCCTCAGCATGGGCACCCGTTGGTGGCAGTTGCAGCCAGTGCCTGTTGACTTCTAAACAAGGTGCACCCAGCAGGAGACCTTGGAGAACAGAGCATGCTGGCCCCACCCAATGCTCTGCAGTTTGAGCCAGCATGGCTCTGCACTGTCACCACACAGGACTCAGGAAAGTTGGGCACGGGCTGCATCAACCTTCACAGAAGTTTAGACCAAAATTCCCTCCTTCCCTTTCAGGAGGGGCTCTGCTGACTCACAGTGCAGTTATTCACAGAGGGTATGGGCATCTCTGAAAACTGAGATGAGAACTGAGGAGTACCTGGGAAGTATGAACAGAGGCTGCCTTAGTGAGGAAGGGCAGCCCTGCCTAGGAAACAGATTTGCTTGTGGAAGACTAATTTGTTTATGTAAAGATGCCTCCGAAGCGGGGGGGGGGGGGGGGGCAAACCTGAGGCCCTCTTATCAACTCCCTTCCCAAACTTAGCAAACCGGCACTTCCTTACAGAGGTAGCAAATTAGAGGTCTCTTCAATTATGTGAAATCAAGTGGTGTCTTTTCAGGGTGTCTACTGTACTGATGGAGAAAAGGGAATCAAGCAAAATCTACTTGGGGTAGGAAGTGATTCTTTCTACACTGTACCAAAATATGAACAGTGTTACCTCTAGGGACTAGGAAGTAGTATATGGCCACCTTTTCTTTTCTAGTGTATACTTTTCTGCATTTAAAGAAAAGGCGTTTACCATAATAGTTATCAGCTCTATAAGAAGTAAATCAACATTTAAAAACAAAGCTGTGATTAGGCATGGTGACACATGCCTGTAATCTCAGCTTAGGAGGCTGAGGCAGGAAGATACAAATTCAAGGCCAGCCTGAGCAACTTAGGGAGATCATGCATCAAAATAATTTTTTTAAAAAATAATTATAGTAATTTTTTAAAAGGACTGGGTTAGCTCAGTGTTCCCTGAGTTCAGTCCCCCATACTACAAAACATCCAAAGGTGCCCTACACCAGCAATGTCTGCAGAGGAGGGCAGCTGCGTGTTTATGGACAGAGACCTCTGTTCATTTCTCAAAAGGTGTCCCCCGGCCCATGGATCCCTCTCTTCTCAGCCAGACTCCAGGAACCAATACAGACTGGACTTTTTGGAGGACAGTAGGGAAGCCAAAACTCCCCAGGGACTTTTTTTGCTGCCTGAGAATGACTTTGTTCAATAGCATTGACCCCATTACACTACCCACAGCCCAGTGTGGCCAAGAAGCAGAACATGTCACCGGACATACCTTTGCTTTTCCTTCAGGTGGACCTACCATGACTTCTTCCACCGATATCGGGTGCTGGTCAAGAAGAGAGAGCTCAGCAACACCGACAAGAAGGCCATCTGCAAGTCTGTGCTGGAGAGCCTCATCAAGGTGAGCTGGGCTCAGCAGAGGGCTACAGCGTCTGCCATCGTCCTTGTTGAGACTGTCTCTAAGATGATAATCAGCTTTCCTGCATCAGAGACTAGAAACAAAAAGCCCCTTACCTAGAGTACCTCATGGCCTTTTTGCATCTCCCCAGCCATTCCCACCACTGTACCTGGGTGGGGCCTGATCTGGATCCCAGGCACAGCCCCTGTCTGCAGAGCAGAAAAGAGCTGGTCCACTTTTACCTTATTGCAAAGCTAGCCTCAGAGCTCTCCATTTACTTACTTAAAATCAGGCAGTAGATTTATGTTTTAATTGAAACAATCTGAAAGAACACCTGACAATTGAGAGTTGACAGTTATAAAGATAGTGCCATGAGTGGCAAACCTTTAAACATTCCAGTAGTTCCAAAGAATTCAGGGATTATAGCAGAGTATGATAAGTTCTCCATAAAGGGCTAAACCCTATTGAGAATCTTCCCTTTTAGAAGACAGTAAAAAGGATTATATCAAAAATTTTAAGTTTTCAAGTATTATTTTGCTAGGAAATCTGTTTACTTAGAGTAGCTTATTAACAAATAATCAAGCGTTAAGGTCATGTTTTATTCAGCAAATATGTCAGTCATTTTCTGAGCCTATAGAGTCAGGCTTAGGACAACACAAGGTGTTGTACTGAATGTGTAAGATTTTAAAGTTGTCTTTTAAAAAGGTAAGCCCAAATATTGGTCTCCCTTGTCCCCTCCCCTTTTGAACAACAGAGTAAGAGGGTAGTAGGCTGGTTAATTGAGAGCTGTGGTTTGTTCCTGGAGCTCTGGTGAGCTGAGGTTTTGCTGCGGTCCATCTGACAGTGTCCCAGGTTTATGATCTTGTTATTTGTGGGTGAGAAAAATGTGTTCAAAATGAGCTGATTTCAGGTGACATGGAGTGTCAACTAGTATCAGACATGGTCTCTTCATATGCAGTCCAGGCCTCTACCATGTGGCTGCCTTCTCTATTGTCTACTTGCCTCTCTTCTCTGGACTTCTCCAAGGTTACTAGCAGAACCTCCACTTTCCAAACAAAGGATATACCCTGAGCTCTGCTCCCCTCTGTGTCATAGGACCAAGTGCCCTGCCTGGGACCTGCCTTCTTGACATGTGCATCTCTGGGCCTTGCCAAGAACAGCTGCCTCTTTCTCACTGGTGATGAGCCTGCCTGCTTCTCAGTGCCCAGCTCATAGCTCATACCCTGCTGTCCCATTTCAGATACGCATGTCCTTCCCTTCAGGTGACCTGTCTCTGTAGTGACACATCCCCCTTCCATGTCAGCACTGAGCCTGGCTCAAGGGTACCCACCACACAGTCATGGCATGAATGCACAGGGACTTGCCTGAACAAAGGTTACATGATAGATTGTGTTTTCTTTGCCTGAAATGCATTTTCCCTCTCTCACCTGCTAGCTAGGCTCTGCTCTGTTCCCAAACAGAGCTCTCAGATAATTCCTGGTCTGAGAAGCCTGTTCCTGGCCTCCCAGGTAGAGTTAGCAACTCCATTTTCTGTGGCCCAAAAGTACTCAATGCCTGTCTTCCCTTGTTGCATTTATCTTCTTATATTGTGATTGAAGGCTTGTCTGTCATTTCACTGGACTGTGAACAGGTGAATGGCAAGGACCTTACTATTGCTGTGTTCCTAGTACAATTCCTATTTATCACCAGAGTGATGAGTAAGTAGAGGTGGCTGCATGGGTGACAAGCTAAGCCCATATGACTGGAAGCCTGCTAGTAATGGCCCACCTTGTCAGGAATGTGCATTGCCTATCTTAGAGATGGGGAAACCAAGGCACAGAAAGCTGATGTAAATTGCCCAGTGTTGCACAGTTGGACTCAAACTCCTGTGGCCTAAACCACAATGCCTGGTTAGTGTCACTCTGCATGGTTAGCCTTCCTGGAGGCCTTGTTGTCCTTCGCCACCTCTTTCTTGGGCCACATCATCGAGACACTCATGCTCCTAGTGCTGTGCCAACTGGCTGGACTTCAGCAGAGTCACAAGTTGACCTTGAAGGACATGTGCCACCCTTGCCCTGCCTTGAGCAAGTGTTCGGTACATTTCAGAACAGAATAATTAGGAGAGAAGAAGGGATGAAAGTGGCTAGTAGGCCAGACAACAGGTCCTAATAGCGTTAGGGGGGCAACCTGGGAACTGGGGGCTGCTTCAGTAGGCATCATGGAGAACTTTCACCCCTGCAGTTGGCTGGGGGAGAAATGGGTATTTTGGCTGCGTTTCCTCTGCAAGGACTTTAGGAATGCCCTTTCATGCTTAATGTGAATTTGCTGCTTCAGCTCCACAAATAAATATTCAGTTCTTTCTCCATGCTCTAGTCTGGAGTGGTCAGAGTGAGGGATTTTAAAAAGCGTGCTGTATGAGCCCTGCTCTCCAGGATTAATACTCTAGTGTGAGCACAGACATAACTGTAGGGAATCATACCATGGGGACTGACAATCCTGCGAACCTGAACCTTCATCATGACAGTGAAGGAACGTAAGAACAGGCTTTTGTTGCAAACCCATACAGTACCAGGTATTATGTGCATGAGAAGTATAAAGAGCACAGAATTAGGAAAGGAAGCAGGATATATCAGAGACCTCTGGCCAAGGAAACTCAGATCTTGGATTCGATTCCTTAATATTTCAGAGTGGCCTGGAGCAAGTCACCTGACCATTTTTATCTAGGCTTCAGTACTTTATCATTTATGAAATATATAGAGTGGCTTGGATTGCTAAGACTGCGTTTCCCTTCCTCAGTGTGTGGCTCATGGAGAAAAGATTCCCCAAGATGATGACTGATTGGTTAGTGTATGAATAGAACGGTATGTTCTGGGCTGGAAAGTATGCTCAAGACACATGGGGTAGAGAGTGCAGATCAAGCTGTTTGGTGACTGGATGGAGCATATGCGACACCTTGTTCAGAAAACCTTATTTGTAGAAGCAGTGGCTTCACAGCCCAAATTGCCCCTTGTTGTTTATTTCCAAAATAACAAATGAAGCACTTGTGCTCTGTTTCCTGGGTTGCAGGCTTCACCCAAGGCCCTGCATCTGCTGAAGCTGAGCAGCCAGGTTTGTTCACTGCCCCTGACCTGCTCCCTTGCTGACAGGATCCTCCCTCATAGGCCAGCAATCAAAGCATGGCCTTGGCTTCCTTGAAGCTTCCCAGCCTTGTCTAGCCCTCTGCCTCTCAGCATGAGCTGCAGGCTCTCTGGAGATGTGGCCCTGAGCAGACATAGAGATGAGAGTCTGCCCTGACCCCGCCCCCTCCTAATTTCCCCAGCAGCCAGGCCTATGAAGGAGATTTATTGGTGACACTCAAGTTGGGACTGAGCTCCTAGCTCCTGCACAGCTTAGGCAATGCAGCCTTCCCAGTGTGTGGAGCCCAATTCTTGCTCAACCCATGAATGACTCAGTGGTCCTTCAGGGCTATTTGCCTACATGAGTCCTATTTGCATGTATGTGTTTCATAGCCCATGGCTCATTCCTTCCTGTCTTACTAGGGCCATTGTGCCAACGGACACACTTGGATGTCAGTTTGTTTGCAAAGCATTCTCAGTTGTCACTGGTTAAGTTAGGCTTATCCACCAGCACCCAAAGGGGTTATTTCTCCTTATCCACTGGGGTGAACACAGAGAAAAGCAAGTAATTTTAACCTTGTAGATATAATATAGTAATTATAGGTCCACAAACATCTCTAGCACAGTTTTATTTGGGGGTTATTTGCGATCTGTAGTTATGTATACAACTGTGTGGCCATTTGAGGATAATCAGGTCATTGCCTTGCTCAACATCCCCAACCCACGGCTCCCATTCTAGTTATCTACAAGGCCCTTGGTGATTGGTTCCTCCTACAATCCACATTTAGCCATCTTGGCCTTTAGATCCTCAAACATGCTTAGCTTTTGCCACCCCAGGACATTTGCATTTGTTCTGCTCTTGCA